TTTTGTTTTTTTGAACAAAAAGATGGCTGTACACGCATACACTTTAATTTAACCTTTAAACTGCCGGCATTTTTCCGTTAAACTAGTGGTTTTTTCTCGAAATTTTTTTTTATATAAGTAACACTCATGGCGCAGAATATCGAGATTTGTGCAGAGTCATAAAAGTGGCTTTCCTAGTGGCAGTCTAAAGGTTAATATTATCTTTATGAATTTTAGTCGAAATTTCTTCATATTGAAATAATTGAAGATATAGAAAAATCTTTGCGTAAATATTTTCGTTGAAAATATTACGCAGCATCCGAAGCTATTATCACGCTCGTAAATTATATCGCTTTGAATCTCGCAGAAACGACGCATTATATTCGTATATTTATTCCGGGCCTCCGACGAGGGTATTAGATTATGCAAATCACGTGCGAGACGAGTGTCGCGGATCCCATCAGATAAAACGTTATTCCGAAGGTGGAACGTGCGATCCCCTTCACGTTCGACCGTAGCAAACATTAGAGGTGAGCGATATGACACAATCTTGATTAAAATGCTACCCCTGGCATTCTGCCACTCGATAGTATCGCTTATCACGTCATTAACTGACGAGAAAAAGAATCCGCGAACGCCTGAATAATCAAGTTGAACGCGCGTTGCAGAATGCACCTAAAAGATGGCTTGAGGAATGTATACGTGAATTTCTTTTGTTTATTTATTACAGCATCTGCAGATAGGATCCTTTTTCGATTCTACGCACGTTATCGCAAGTACAGTATTGGATATTATAGAAGTCGGCATTATTTTATCTGGAAACGTAGTACTTGCGAGAATAAATATAACATAAATTTTTTACTTTTATTTCAAGTATTTATTTTTGCGTAGGAGAAAAAATTAAATGCAACAGTAGAAACAAATATAATTTTTTTATTGAGTATTAAATGAACATATTTTTGATTGGATCTTATCCTACGGAGATAAAAAGGGTGGTCTGAATACAGGGTGTTTCAGACCACCCTTTTTATCTCCGTAGGATAAGATCCAATCAAAAATATGTTCATTTAATACTCAATAAAAAAATTATATTTGTTTCTACTGTTGCATTTAATTTTTTCTCCTACGCAAAAATAAATACTTGAAATAAAAGTAAAAAATTTATGTTATATTTATTCTCGCAAGTACTACGTTTCCAGATAAAATAATGCCGACTTCTATAATATCCAATACTGTACTTGCGATAACGTGCGTAGAAAGTTGTGGGGTTTAAAAAGATCTATTTATTGATCATATCAGTTTGATCTTGGAAAGCTCTTGACATCGGCTATTTGATTCTAGAATAAAAAATAGGATGTTTCGTTTAAAAAAATCGATGTGACCTTGATCTGACCTTGGCAAAGCCATCTAAGGTCAAACTGATATGATCAATAAATAGATCTTTTTAAACCCCACAACTTTGGTCTGAACATATTTTTGATTGGATCTTATCCTGCGGAGATAAAAAGGTCTGAGACACCCTGTATATAACATGATCAGGATTATTTATATATAATATGGTCATTTAATACTCAATCCTGCGGAGATAAAAATGGTGGACAGGTGGTCTGAGATACCCTGTACACATATATATATATTTTTTAAGTGCAATTATTCTGTAATTATATTGAATTCTGAAGATCATACTTAACAAGTTAGAATAAACTACAGAATTAAATCTCTAAACAATAAATCTGTGATTACATAAGACAACTATTCGTCAAAGAAATCCATTTTCGTTCGTATATAAAGATCATGATCATGGAAATGCCTATCGAGCGTTTGAGAATGAAACTCTACACAGCATTCTCATTAGCATATAATTAATATATGAGCAATGACCGGCGCGGCATTCTTTGCGCTCGCGTATGAAGTCCGACTCATACACGCATGTTTGACGATGCAGCGGATAGACGCGAAAAGGGAGAGCCCTCATGAGGGCTTGAAGGGAAAAGGGAAGACGAAGAAGCGAGCAGGCCAACTTAAAACAGTAGTAGTGACCCCCGGGGCTGAGCAGGCCCAAACAAGAAGTCCCTTCTGACGTCACCGGCAGGTGCAAGCAAAAGTGCATCCTCGTCTTGCCGCGCTCCTCTCGCTCTCGCTCCCTTTCTCCGCTTTCCGCCTTCCTCTGCTTCTTTTTCTGCTTCCTCCTCGCGCACTCGCGTGTAATCGTGCCGATTTCGAGATCGAGATAACTTGGCCTGTGTACAGCGCCCACCGTGAATCCGGTTGGTTTCTGTTGAAAATTTCTGACGTACGTTACTCAGCTGCAGTTGCTCGCTCGCTTACTCGTTCGCTCTCTCTTTCTCGCGGACTTTAATAAATGATTTCCTTTGCGGTTCATTGAGTCGGTTGTGGATAAATTGGCGAGATGATTGCAGAGGTGAAACAAAGGATATGCGAGATATCCCTATTTCGTAATTTTTCACAGGATAGATATGTGATACTATTAAGTGTTTCTTAAATTCGTTTTTTAAATTCTGTAGCAAATTTAAAGAAAATTTTTTTGATGGAAATTTTATGATATCAGATTGTTTAAATTTTTAATAAATTTTAAATTTTCAAAATAAAATATTTTAATCAATTTGGTGTTTAATTTTTTGTTACGTAGACAATATGAATTAGGTAAAATTAATTTATTAGAAGTACATTAATTCTCTGGAAATATTTTCACCTTTTGTTCACAACTTAGATCTTCGATCTTCAGTATATATTTTTATATCGTGTTCTGGCCTGCATAAAAATCTGAAAAAAATCTTACACACTGTGAAAGCTTTAACAAATTTTTATTATCAAAGAAGTTGGAATTTCCTTATTTTTTACACATTTAAATTATATTTACATTGTTCACTTAATCATAATTAATTATAAATTTTGTTAAATTTATTAATTAAATTTATCTACTAGAATTTACAATAAAAAATCAGTTGTATCTTTAAAATCCAACAATTGGCGGTGAGTTATAATATATAATGATTACATCATTGTCTATATGTAATTTTCTAACCTTTTTTTACATTTCTGCAAGTAATGCGATATGATTTGAACTTAAATTAGTTGGAATCTAATGTCGTATTGTGGAGGGTAATAAAAAAACCAGGAAACGCTTTGTGCCATCGAGATTTAAAGAGCATCCGAAAACTCGATACTAATCTATCCTTAGTGACGGTACATCTAATCGAAAGGCGATATGATTCCACTGATGGATTTCACTGATGGAACACCTTAAGGGCGGTAATAAAATATCCTACTGAGAACATTCCATGGATTTTAATGCCCGATAACATCGTTTGTAAATGGAACGACGAAATCCGAACGAGCTGCCGCGCCGGTGCCAAGATAGCTGCGTCTCGCTTTATTTCTCGAGGCGAAGGTAACTGCATCCGCGGTTGATGCAGCGAGTTATCTTGATCTTAAAATCGGTACCATTACGCATGAGCGCACGCGAGAAAAGAAAGAAGGCTGTTGATTCTCTTACGCGCATTCCTCAGGTTGATTCGTCCGCATATGATGCTGTGTGCAATGATAATCATGTAGCATTGCGTTCTATCTAGTTTTGTATTGTATATCTAGCTTGCTAAGTATGGTTTTCAGACCTTAAACCCAGTTCCATCAAGATTAAATAAGATTAAGTTTAATATCGGTTTAACTTATTGTAAATTAGAAAAAGATAAACAGTAAGTTAAATCGATTAAAGTTAATCTTATATTGTGTGTGAAATCGGGCTTCAGTTAGAAGATCACGTTTAATATTTGTATGTACAATATAATTAGAAGCTATTCGATTTTCCATTTATAACTGTTTATATGATTTTGTTAGCTATCAAATTGCGAAGTTTTTATCTTATTTTCCTTGTGCAAATTATTGTTTACTCATTGCGTTTTCCTTGAAATTATTAGTCAATATTACCTTCATTTAATACTTGATAGAAAAAAATGTAAAAAAGAATAAAAAACGAGGTTCCATCAAAGGCACATCAAAGAGATGATATTAAAAAAAGAGAAGACCTTATTTGTACCTGGGGCGAAAAATAGTCCAACGACTACTGTATTCGTTTTTTATTTCTCACCTTTACGAGACTGGTAATCGTTTGCGGCAGGTAGATATCGTCCTTAGAGATCTACTTGATTGGAATTTTATCTCTCATCTCACGTAAATATCTGAATTTAATGCGCGCAAGGAGTTGTAAAAAATATTCTGCTTTTTTAACACCTGGAAAATGCATTTACATTTGGAGATACATACAGAAATAATTTGAATCACTTAATAAATTGAAATAATTTGAATCATTTAATATAAACTTAATATAATTTTTTAATACAATTTATGTGAATTTAATATAATTTTAAGCTCACGATTGTGTTAAATCTATAACTAAAGTTAAAATTTTAACATTTATTATTTACGAATACAATAATAAAATAGTGTAAGGCTGAAGAAAGAGAGAAAATATATGACATATTTTTAAAAGGAACTGTAAATTAGGGATACATTAAAATCGTATAAATTTTATTTATTATTCGATTATACTCGTTACTTCAAATGCTCAGCCTAGCGGGTGCTGTTTGCCACTTCACAGCGAACGGAGTGAATGTATAGTAGACCCCAGACTAGGTATTACACTTTTTTCGGTGCTTATTAAATATTTTTTAGGGGGTGTCGGTCGCGGGTCGATACAAATTTCGGTTATTAAGGCGGCACCATGTGTAATCGGACTGAATTACATCTTAAATTACCGAGGGTACGCCCGGCGGTTTCTAACGAGCTTTTTTTTTATTGTTCGTCAATATAATTCGTAAAGCTTGACGTCTTCGACGAAACGTTTAATGTTCACGTTGAAGTTTGCGCGCGATTATAATTTGCCACATTTTCCTTCGTTTTGTATCCGACAGTCGCAACGGTTGGTCGGGATGTTTTATCACCCGTACAATAAAACGCACTGTTATTTCGTGAATTAACGTTTCGCTAATTTTTGACCGCAGGTGAAGCTGCAACGCGGGACTGCTGAAGCGGATTGACGAGCTCAGGTGTCAGTGTTGGTGAGTCCATATATACATATTTTTTAATACAAGTTTTCCGCTATTTTAATTTTTAAGTATTTTACGTTGTCTTTAATTTAATATTATTTTAAACAATTATACCTGTCCATGTTATTAACTATATGTTTTATGCGTTTATTGTTATATTTTCTATATCAATGCATTTTGAACCGCAGAATTGAAAAACTTTCTAATGTTTAGCTATTATAAAAATTATGATATAAGGACAATTTGCGAATCGTCTACTTTTCGAAGTAAAAATTGAAATCTGTGCGACAGATTGCAAGATGTCGTTCAATTTTTCACCGCTTCCTTACGATCGAACGATCCATCCTTCGCGGATAAATTCTTTATGCGTCTGGACTCGCTTGTCCGTCCATCAGAGAACCACGTGGAATCCTTTGTCCCTTCGGACCGGTCCATGGAATTTCCGTGGATAGAATAAAAAGGACTGAATCATAATGCCGCGACGCGCGAGAGGACCCTTTCGATCCTATTGAAACGTTGGAGCGGTATCGGGTGGGGTTAAGGGTGGCCACGGGGGTGAATGCAATATTATTCAAAATCACGAAAATCTCCGTTTGTATTTCGTTATTTTCGGGGTCCATTCGGGATCGTAGATGCATATCTTACACCGTTGAATGGGCCACTGTACGGGGTAAGCACCGGCCGGTGTTTGTTCGTCATTTTTTCCCTTCGTTCCCTTCTCGCGTCACAACGAGAACCGAGAGGCAAGAGTGATCCAGGTAAAAAGGGTCAAACGCACGCACAAAGGGCGCTCTCGCCCTCGCGACCGGGCACATATGCGCACAGCACGCAATCATAAAAGCGACACTTCGATCTTGCGCCGAGAACGAATCGAACTTATTGAAAGAGAATTCAAGACGATTCAAGGGTTGATTCGTCGTCGTCATCGTCGTCGCCGTCGTTTCACCGGGAAAACCTGTCGCGCGCACCACCGACTGCACGATGCGCATATGCAACACGATTTCCGCAGCTGCCCTTTTTCTACGTTTGTGCAGCCCTTTTTCTACGTTTTCATCAAGCACTCCAGGTGTGTGAAATCGCCAACATTAGATTTTTACAGATTTTTATCGGAAACAGGAAGATTAGTTCATGAATAACTAAGTGTTTTAATTATTGCACTTGTCGCTAACATCCCGAATTTTGACTCACAATCAGAGATCTTTTATCCCGCGACTCAACCCTTTCACAGGTGTATCCTGTCGGGAGGGAAACCCTTTTTCGTATTGTTCGCGAGTTTCCGCTAATCCTTTCGGTGCTTCACAGGTAAAAGGGTTGACATTCTGGGTTAGCGGATCGGAGGGTTGACTAGAAAATGTCTGCTTAACGGTGCAGTAGAACGAAATTATTTGTGATGAACTATTCATTCGATGTGGTGCGGTATGTTTTATTGATGTAATGCAAATTTTTTCCAAACTTTTTCAAGTCTTCTTTTTTTCGTTATCTCACTTAAAAAACCTTTACGATATTTTTAAAAGTATACAGATTTATATTTATCAAATTAATATATGTACATACAGGGTAAAGTGATACAATTTTAAACATGATACAATTCTGAATAAAATAAGATTTGAATCCTGTTATCGAAGTTCAGCTTTGATTTTTTCTTGTTTGGTATCATTCACACAATGAGATGATTATCAAACTTGAACCTCGAAAATTGAATTTAAATTTTATTTTATTCTGAATTGTATCATGTTCAAAATTGTAACACCTTTCTATACGATATGTGAACATGTGGAATTCTTAAAAATATAAATCTGTAAGCTTTTAAAAATAGTAAAGTTTATTTTAGGAGTTTTTAAATAAATAGGATAATGAAATAGTCAAGAAAACTTGAGAAAATTTGAAAAAAATTTCGAATAATACCGCCCTATTTTTATCAATAAACTTTTAAATAAGTAGTTTGAATGCGGATTGTATCGTGCATTTAATTGCTTTTGATCTGTCCTTGAATATACAATTACACTTTGAAAACAATTATGTGAATAAAATAAAAAAAATAATTTCTTACGAATCACGAAAGAATGATGCAATTTTAGAAAATATAAAACGAGATTTACTCGAGAATAAGAACTCGAAGAAAAGACTTTCTGAAGTAGATCCTTGCAAGTTTGAAGTCCGTTTCGCCATTTTGCTCAAAGGCAGAATGATATCTGTTCAAGAAGAAAAGATTGCTTTTTGTGTAACGCGTTACGTAAACTCGAAATGCTTGCGGCAGATTCCTTGCGATCCGTTGGTGCAGGTTCGAACCTGCACAGGGCATTCAGAACACTCGCTTTGATCAAGTTTCTTCACGTGCCAGCGGTAAACGAGACGTGTTCAAACTTGCGCGATCTTCCGCACAGATCAGTATATATGGGCCTCGTTTCCCGCGCAAAGGAGGACGATCCTGCCGGATGCGAGGACCTGCCGCGACGCTTGAAAAGCGAATCTAACGTGGGTGAGTGCATTTTCGGGGGGTTGCGTTGTGAGAAAGTCTCTTTAAAAGGATGCGTTCTAACTCTCTCGCATGATGCTCCGACACGTATTTTTCAATAGCGAATTTCGTCATCTTAGATACGCCATAGAAAAGGGGAAGGATTCGTATGCGGACAACTGTATCCGAGACGCATAAATTTTGCGTCGGGATATTCTCGAAATTTTTACTCGTTGCTTCTATATAATGCTGAACGGTCGACGTAAATCTTTCTCGACATATTCCTTAGACTTACAGAAAGAAAATATTGTTTTTAAAGACTGAATTTTCCTCGCATTGTATTTTGTAATACCTTTTTTATTATACATTGTTATAGTTTTTGGTTATATAAAATGATTTAAAACATTATTTTAATTCTTTTAATTATAAGAATTATTAACCATATACGCAATATTGAAGTCATGCGTATTATATTTTGTCGAAAGAAGGCTCTTTGAATTCAAAATTTTGAAAATTCAACCCCCTCGAAATATTTTATTTCAACAAAGACATCAATACGTTTATGATGAATTTAATAGGCTTCAAGATCAACACGAAAATCCTAATATCAATATCAAACATTACTCAGTACACCAAATTCGAGAGTCTCGACAAACTTCTTGGAGGACTGCGCGATGGTATTCCTTCCTATCGACCCTTAGGATCCAAAATCTTCCAAAGTCTTACGCGTCGAGTTTGGAAAGATCCGTTTCCATTTACGAATCACCATTATGTCCCTAAATAAACAGCTGTTCCTCGCAAGCCCTGCACCTATGTAAACACAAGATTCTGACGAAACTGCCGCATGCTCGATCGATATGTGTGATTCGCTCGACCGGGGGTGAAAAAGAAAAAAATTTCGAGTAAAGAGTGTCGGAAGGAGAGGATCGCATTGAAGATCGCAGGACCATGAATCTGCCTCCAAGGCACGGATCCATTCTTAAAGGATTATCATTATAAATTATACATTTCCCTTCTTCCCTTTCTGTACCGCCCTCCTACACTGCCACCGAATGACCGGTAGCAGCTTAAGGATTTCTATCACTGGATTAGCGTGGACCGTGTCATCGTGGTATCCTGTCTATTCGATTTGTCTTCCTTCGGGAGAAGAAATGCTCACGAGTTCTTTTCCGTTTCGCGTTTTACAATCTATTTTTTATTAATTCTATGTTCCGTTCACACGTGAGTAATATTTGGTCTCGCGTGTGCTTTTTTTTTTATTTTTGCGGATATAGCGATATTGCAGATACGTAAATCTTGTCATTTTGCAAACCATAGAAAATTTCAATAGGTAGTCAAGATCCTACATCAAATGCATACATGAAAAAAGATATAATGAAAACTATATCATTAAATTTTTTTTATGACAATGCTGTTCCTATACGGAGAGAATTATTTTTTTAAATTTATTCTGAAAATATAGTAGTTTTGTGGTATAATACAATATTTTAAAGAAAGATTTTTATCATGCACTTCAGTAAAATTAGTCAAACTTATTTTATACTTTATTGTAGTTTTATTAATGAATGAGAGAGATTTATATTAAAATTCCTCGAAATACAATGTTATCCCATGACTATCATATTTTCAGGGTAAATTCTAAGAAAAAATTTTCTCCGAGTAGAAGGTTAGAGGAAGGTCACCGATACTAACATAGGTCTCTTGAAGCGACATTCCCTTATTTCTTAGAAACTAACCTTTGCACCTTATTAATACTAATAAAAACGTGATCTGTTTAGCTAATTAAAGAAGTACAAACTCATAATTTTCATATATTTGTGGCTTATTTCTATACCAAATCACTTAAAAACAAATTCTATGAATCCGAAAAGAAAATTCTTACGGTGTTTTTTTGCAAATTGCGTAATTAAAATAATAGTGACTGTACTATTGATAATATTATGTCATTTTAAATGTTTATAGTTTCATAAATTAGTTTTCTTTACAGAATAGGCTATATATCTTTATTTATAGAATAGGAATGTTGGTATTATTGCCTACTATGTAAGTTTTGGAGCCCATTTTATCAGACGCTCATTTTTGTATAACTTACGAAAAACTTAATTATTGCAAAATTGCAAACAGTATTATAAAAACTGCTTATAATATCTGAGAAGACACTTTTTAGTTTGTATTTATGTTTTTGAAGTTATTTTTTACCTTTTGTTTAAGAAATATTGTCTAAAAACAAAGTGGTATGTCGGTATCGGTGACCTTCCTCTAATATTACGTTATTAATAAATACACAATAATGATTTTAGTTGAAAGTTGCTCTTTCTTTCTTTTTCAATTTGATTGATTTCAAAATTAAAGGTATACAAAAATTACAATAGATATTTTATGTTATAACTTAAAATGATTTCTTTCCGAAAAAATGAAAAAATCTCAACAATTATAATTATTACACTTTTTTAATTCAACATGTTCGATAAAAATTACATAGAGACACGTTCTGATTCATTTCTAAAATATTCTTTACAATTTTTTTGACATATAAATATCTGCGCATGATGCAAGACGG